TTACGTCATTAGTCAACGGCGACGTAATTTCTTTCGTAAATACGACAAAAAATGGACATTTAAAAATAAAAATCAACATGTTTTAGTTTGGATCATTATTTTCTAAATAATCAGTTTATTCCATACTTTTGCATCATACTGTATAATTTAAAGTATTGTAGATGGATACTGAATATTTTTTGATGTCTAAGTACATAAAGATATAAAATATTTCTTGCAATAATTGTATACAAATAACTACCTCTGAGAGTTAGTGGTGAGGAAACGAATTTAATTGTTTATGTCATTACCAAGTTCTATACCTAAATATCTCAAAAACTGATTTTATTAGCAAGCTCAAAATAAAGTAAATATAAAAAAATCACGAAATTTAACCAACGATATTTTTAAATAAAGGGAAAGACATGGAAAAGGCATTTTTTCCTGGTTTTTCTCGTTCCATATCTTTTGAATCGTACTGTATACTATACACTATACAAATTTTAAAATGGTTTATTCTCTAGTATTATTATTACACGATATAAAATAGGTAAAATTTTATTAAAAACAACATAAATGGTCTACTAACTTTTTGAATGAGTCGCCCTGTAGAGAATGTATTAACATCTTAATTTGGATTAGTTGAGCAAAAGACTATTTCAGCATGATATTAATTTGGAGAATATTCCAACACTAAAGTAAAAATTAAAATTCGATTTTCAGTAATTTATGACTCTCCCTGTAACTAATAATAATTTAAGTCATATGCTATACAGGAAATATTTTTGAGATCAGTAAAACATTATTCTCGAAAAATATCTGTAAAGATAGCTAGTATATAGTTTGTTGAGAGGCACACATTTTTTAAAAAATTTGCAATTTGCAACTTCAACGTCCTGTATATCAAAAACTAGTTGTAGGATTGAGTTGTGCCCGTAGACACTATTGTTCAGGACAACATAACAAAAATTAAGAAAGTTTTCTCCTTTATAGTCCATTTTAAAGAAATTATATATAGAATAAAATTATTGAAAGAATTTTCGTTTATACTTAATAATAAATAACAGAAATATTAGAAAAATTACTAGCGGAAAAATATTAAAAAAATTACCCCCTATAAAGTGCCTACCCCCAGATGCTCCGACTATGCCCAAAATCTAACATTAGCCAACCACAGGATGGATTAAAGCTTTGGTTTAAAACTTTGTGTTTTTCTCTTTATCTGTTTGAGTTATAGCAAAAATTGTCAAAATGGATTCAGGAGACCCATCAAAAAATTCGAGTTTGAAAAAAATCATGATTCCTGTACCTTCCTTACTGGATACAGAGAAGAAAAAATGAAAAAAAAAAAGAGAACATTATCACAATACAACTTCAAAAAAATCTTCCTTTCGGTGTAGGTTACATTATACATTAGCAAAAACAAGTAAATGTGTTGTTATTTTATATTTTATTTAAACATTTTCTATATACTTACAGCAATCCAAAATCCTACTGAAATGTTATTGAGTCAGCTAAGCACATCAGACTAACTTCTGAAAAAAAATGATTGCAATAAGTAAATATACCTAGGGCCTAAGGCAAAAATTAGTTCATTAAAATGAATTAAAATTTAGGGAACGAAAACATACAAGACAACAAAAAATTGTAAAACAAGTTCAACAATTTTTACCCAACGCTTAACCTATCTACTCATATAACAATGCGTCATACAGGTAGGTATTCATTTGAATTCAATTTTCACAGATATTCGCCATTTAAATTAAAAGCATCTTTCGTGTTTAATTTATCTCATAAAAACATCTTACCTGATTACATTTCTGACACATAATAAGATAAATCATTATAAATATTCTTGAAAATATTCTTAAATCACTCAAAAGGTATCCATTTTATTTTTTAAAAAACAAATGCTTGCAGATTCCGTATTAAGCTAGGGCTGCATTATGCAGTAGTTCAGGTAGGTACCGAAAATGAGCTGCAGATCTATGCGTAATAAATTCAAATGCGAATCTTCTGGTCAGTGTACCCATTTATTGCTCGGAAGAAATTATGGGAAAATAAAATTGTCTGCTGCAGATGACGTTTTGCTATGCTGATGATTGGTGGCTCGACTTCTGCCTAATATAGCGCTAGTCTAATAATAATTGTAGGTATTATAATTAAATTAGTACAAATAAAATACAATAAAGATTATAGGTACTTGGTAAACCAAACCAAAATTGTCTCCTGCTCCTACAATACTTCTACTATTTATAGGTAGAATTATTGTAGAATGCCTTTGAATACCTCCTCTCAGGAAATGTACATCGGCGTCGCCAGATTTTTTTCCGAAGAGTGCAATATACGTTGTAAACCTAATCGTAAACGCATACATGCATAAATATATTTATTGTGCTATAATATACCAACAACCTTTATTTTTAATTAAAATCAATTCCCAGTAGCTACATTTAAAGCAACGCAAAATGCCGCGTTTGAAAATCCACATATCTCGAGCGTTTTTTTATCCACATCGGACACATCTACTACATCTACATCTGCGTTTGTTTATCCCAGATGTACCTGTTCAGATTACATTTTTTACATCTCGATTTGAAATGAGATCTAAATGAGATGTTCGTTCCAAGCCAGAAAGTAAGTGTTCTGTGAAGCCAAGTTTGTCAATGTATCCTTTGTTTGTGCTAGCATGAATATAAAAGTGATTAATTTGTTTAATTTTTGTTTAGATTTCAAATTTAGGTTGATTTGTAGTCTCAAAAGTCAAATTTAAAAACTATAAACTTCTAACTTGTCATTGGCATTTTATCACGTGACCAATAAAGTCTAGAGCGTTTGTTTATTACATCTACATCATGGAGGTAGTATTCAACCTCATTGATCTACAGGGGGGCTATTTTCAAAGTATGGGAGCACTCATTTCTCTCAAGATTCTCATCAGAAATGTCATACGTCAATGTGGAAACGCTGTATTTAAAGACATCGAGGATTAAAATTCTTAGGAGAATTTTAATTATCTCTAAATAAACCGAGAGAAACAGTCAGTGAGTTCACACTGGCCCTTAAGAGCCCTAAAAATACGGTTTTACGTTGACGTATGACATTTCTCTTGATGGAAATGAATTCTTTCGAGTTTGAAAATAGCCCCCCGATCTAATTCTCTATCACGTGATAAAAAATTCACATCTCAGATGCATCCGATGTGGATTCTCAAACGCAGCAAATATGTGCGAGGTTCTGAGAGGACGTCATACTCGTTGGTCCTGTCTCGGCCAATGATGTATATAGATATATAGATTACTCACAAATATGTAAATATGACTACGAAAAGTGGGTCGCAATGGGAGTGCTCAGTAAACAGAACTGTTCTGGCTCTAATGAATTTAAAAATAAAATTTCAGCACATATATAGAAGAAAAAAAGGAATTACCTTAATATGTACTTTAAGAAACGATATTACTATGTTAGGTATTTTGAAAACGTTATTTTTTGTGTTGTAAAGTTAAGTTTCCATATAGTCAAATAAAATTAAGAGATATACAATTTTTATAACGGATATATGTAATCATTTTGGACCAGTCTCGTTTCAGAAATACTACTATATGAAACACATAATTGCAGTATATAATACAACTTTGAAACGTAAACATCTTTGATATGAGATATAAACAAAATTGATAAGAAATGTAACCACACTATATTGGACACTTATCTTTTATTCTGAGATATGATAATGTTACTAAATTTTACTAAAAGTCACTAGACTTTTAACATTTTAAAGTTTGAATATCACAGCAAAGTTGAGCGACCATTTCCGTCCTGAAAACAACTACTTCCTTGACTAATACCACAACAGGCATTGCATTATATAAAACTGAAAAGAGCAGACGTAGAAAATCCTTTTTGAACAATGATTTTGATTTCAAAGGAGAAAATAATCTTGGACCGGTTTAGTCATAGATTACTATATAATGTGGGTTTAGGCCTTATTATGACTCATCAGCAAACATTAGATTGTTTATTGTTTATCAAAACTATTTAATTATACTGATGCCTATTGTAATTATAATAGTAATATTTAAACACAACAAAGATAATTCTCTAATTACTGAATTAAATAAATTTTATACATTTTTAATTGCCTTGTTAAAAATAGATCCATGATATTTTTTTGTCAAATTAGACATTCCAATTTCATAATAACATTCTACACTAGTTTTAATTAACGTGTATAAATTATTATTTATCTGTAAAATTATATTTTAATATTTTATAAAATGTACTTTTAAATCTATAATGACACTAAAACACTAAAGATTCTTATTTCTAAAGGCTGTATGTCACGATACTAAATTAAGTACTAAATTTAGCACTAAATTAAGTTATTAATTTAGTACTAAATTTAGAACTAAAAATTTTTTTTCCGTTTGCAACGATAACAATTTTTAGTACTAAATTTACTATAGGCGCAGGCGCATTGACGTATTAATACGTAAAATTAACAGAGAAATGAAATATTATGTGTAAAACAGACAAGTAAATGGTGTTTTTATTATCAATTTGACACTAGTTGACTTGACAACAACCAAATACAGCATAAAAACCACGAAAAAAACACAATAAAACCTACAAAATCAAACAAGCGAACTTTATTCAAGGCGATAATGTAAAATTGTCGCTAATTAAAAATAAAAGGGTACAGAAAATACCGTCGTGTCAACTTTTTCTATGAAAAACTTCTGCGCAACATTTCGGCGCACTTTTAGTACTTAATTAATTACTTTTTTAGCACTAAATTTAGTACTAAATTTGCTGTTTGCAACGTGAATTTTTTTAGTACTTAAAAAATGCATTAATTTAGTTCTAAATTTAGTACTTAATTTAGTATCGTGACATACAGCCTTAACGAAACCCGCTTTTCGGCGCTACATTAGTTGAGCAATCTATATATTCTATAGCATTGGTTGCGACTCACAAAATTATCGAACTCAGCCAATCAGTTGACAATGTCACTGTCATTCACTTGACATTGATAAATTAGGTTATGTACAAAGTAATTGCATTCGATTTTTCGAATTTTTTTAAATTAGATTAGTAATAATTTAATGTTTTATAAAATGGATGATGAATGGTAAATCATCGGCATTAGTACCTAATACAATTTTAGTACTTTGTTTATTTACAGTTCACATTCAGGTCATCCATGGAGACACTATGGGAATTGGAAAGATATCACCCTACAATTTCAAGAAGCAGTTAAAGGTAAGACTGTTCTCCAGGGTGTAAATAATAATAAATTATATCAGCTAATCCAGACAATTCTAGATTTAAAATTAGGTGAGTTATTACATGATGATCTCTTCGGACTTTTTGAGGCAATGTCAGCTATTGAAATGATGGATCCAAAAATGGATGCAGGGATGATGTGCATTAGAGGTGCTAGAAAAATTGTATCATTTGACCAAGCCTTACAGGTTTGTACAAATACTTAGATGTACTAAATAAATGCTAAAAATGGTCTCATTTTAGGATAATATCTTAAAATTAGATGGTTTTAGTAATAAGGAGTTAATAGGAATAATAGATTGTACGTTCGCATGTTTAGTGTCTTGGTTAGAAGGGCATTCATTGGCGCAAACTGTTTTTATAAACCTATATTTACATAAACCATACATGATAGAACACAAAATATTTAAAGCATTTTGTCTTGCTATATACAAACTATTAGAAGTAATCAAGGATTTGGTCCATAAGTAAGTATGTGCATTAATATGAATAAAACATCAATGTTTTTTATTGTATAAAGAAAATGTTAAATATCTTATGTAATTCAACCATTAGTAGTATCTAGTAATAAGTTTTATTGCATTTTTCTTATTAAGTAATAATTTAATTACTCCTTTAGAGTAACTGTAGCAATAATTGATACTGTAAGATGCCTATATCCTTTCACCATTAATAACTTTTTTAAGCATATTTTTCCTTGTAATTTATAGTATGTTAAGTGACTCTTAATTTTTTCATGTAACAGTAAATGACATTCAAGACTTTTTATACTTAAAATTTGAATACATGAAGTGAATAAATTTAATTTTTTGTAGGTACCATAACTCTAACATAAAACATGTTCTGGTTATTGACACTTCGTATACCAATAATTGACACTCTGTCAATAACTGGAGCCAAAAAGCTGTTAGATCTCATATTTAAAAGGTTGGTTTCATAATTTTGTAGACTGTATGACAGCATCATGTATCATTATTTGCTTGTGGACCAGTAATTGACAGGGTTATCAGTAACTGGAACATACTGGTTTTGATGTTCCAGTTATTGACACTAATAAAAATTAGATAGAGGATATTCAAGTGTAAAAACCCATCAGTGTTATTTAACCTTTTCAGGACGGATAACAACTGGAGTTGCATAAATTTTTCTTACCAGTCAACCAGAAAACTACTAGAGTTGAAAGCTTGGATGTGTAGTTTAGGACAGTTTGATAGTAATGTGATATAATTATGACCAATACAGCATTTGATGATTTATCATCTGTCTCTCTTTAATTTCAGACGGCCATTCACGTTTTCGGTAAATGCTACTTTGTGGTAAATGCCTTCTCTATGGTAAATGCATTCTCTGGTCAGTATCAGTATTACCATATTATTTCAGTGGGTGAATATCGTTTGTTTCTAAAATGTCTCAGCAAATGCGTAAAGGGTTTTGTTTTTCTGTTACCAATCTGTATTTTTTATCAACCTTGATTTTTTGATGTTATTTTATGTTGTGTGAGTTTTTTATTTGGTAAGATATCTGTTTTTTAAATTTGATATAATGACATTTTATTTTCATATTGAATATTTTTGGTTTCACATATTTTTTTATTTTATGATGTTACTCAAATTAAAGTTCTGCGTTTTTGTAATATTCAGTATATTATTTTCAAGAAATAGTGAAAAAACCTTTCCATTCGAAATTATTTGTTATTATGGTTGCCATCCCGAAAAGGTTAATAAACACCCAGGAATAGTTTAAATAAATTAAACATAAAGTTATGAGAACTATAGATATTGAATTTAGTGTTACTAACCTTATGATTTTTCGTTAAAATAAACAGTCTATTGCTGCAAGTGCTTCACCATTTTGTAACTAACTATAGAGCCTAACATCTATTATGGTAGCTATATTCTAATATTACAGATGTTTCAGAGTAATTTCTGATATCAAGTCTAATATTTTTGTTTTTGGCTATGAATTGAACAGGTTTCAATTACAGGTACACTGTCAATGATTGGTACACTTACCTTACATGGTTAAACATTTTTTTTAGGCTAGATAACACTGTATTGTTGTCAGTTGTTAATTAGAAAAGACTAATAGATTATATAAAAAGTTATAATGTATCTACAACTGACTTGTTTTTAATATATATTTTTCCATGGTTGAAGTTAGTTTATTTCATGGATTTCATTTCTTACTATTTAAAGCTAATTAAGAAGTAAAAATACTGTAATGGAATGAGAGACCTTTTTAACTTAAAATCAGTCAAATATTATGAAAAATTATTTTATTAAAAAAAATGTGCAAAATGTCCTTAACTCTTTGATGTAATAAACACTTATTGATTTCAGTGGTATGGTATATGAAGAAGAAGATTTTCAACCCATGCAATATGGGTATCACTTAAATCCTGAAATTTCTGAACAACGCCTAATTGGTATGCTTAGAGAAATTGAGGAAGATCTTGATAGAAAAACAAGAAGTAAACCAGATCATGAAATTCATGCCTTATTTGGAAGAATTAAATTTTTAAGGACATTTTTGCAAATTTTAATATCGTTTAGAAAGGAAGATCAACCAGCTATTTCTGAATGTCATAGATTATTAGGTAGTTGTCTAGATATGTTATATATAATTCAAGATACTATAAATATAGGAATAACAAGTGAAGATCGTAAGTTGAAGTAATATTTCAAATAAACAATTATATAATTTGGTTATATTTTCAGCTGATAATGAACACATAATGGGGTTTGAACCATCAATAAACCAGCGTTTGTTGCCGCCAACATTTCCTAGATATACCAAAATTAAATCCAGATCCGAAGCTGTTACTTATTTTATTGAAATGGTTGAAAGATTTAAAGTAGTTAGTAAAATACAGATGATATCTTCGTTACATCAAGCGCTTGTATGCATCAACGAACTAAATTAAAATTAGATTTATTGAAAATACCTTTTTTTAGGATTTCTTCATCGATTTCAGTAAATCCAGTCCTTGCATTTTATCAAGATCTGCTTTACAGTTACTATATCCAGGTCTGTTTAAAGGTTAAGAGTAATTTTTTAACGATTTTAATTTTTTTTTGTTAGGTACGATACCAGCACATATAAAAGATTTACTTAGGGATGCAGTGAAGACATTTATTTGTCCCCCAGCTTTGTTGTCCAAATTTTTATTGAACAATGCTCAGGTAAATTAATAATATTTTTTTATTCATCCATAAAGTTTTACACAATAATAGTATCTACATTATACAAATTGAAATAAAATTTATCATACTTGTATCAAAACAAATAAAATAATAAAGTTTTCATACCAAATAAATTTAAAAATTTTCAAAAGTATAAAATGCTTTCATGGCCAAATATTAATATAGCCTCACTCTAAACAAGGTTAATTTTCCAATGTTTCCAGAAATTTTTGTAAATTCATTAAAATAGGTCTTTGATCTGTATATATAGATTAGGAGATAGAGTAGATTTTCCTATGAAAGATTTAGAATAAAGCTACAAATTGGTATGTTAATTTTTTTAAATAGGTTTTTGAAAAAATCTATTTTTTAGGGCGCTTTGCGTAAACGGCTAGTCTGAAATGAAAAATTCTTGTCCAGTTTTCATCTATAGAATATTTGTGACCAAAACCCCACGAGAGTACTTTCGTAGCACTAATAGTTTACCATCTAGAGTGTCCAGAAAAGAAGCATGTCTTGTTGTTGAAGGCCACGCTTCCATGTTTCCCACTGCTTTATTCATTTTCCCCAAAGGGTGTATTATTAAAGCAAATTCTGCATGATTGAGATAGGCGCGCGGTTGTAGATCTAGAAATTCAGAAACATTTTAAATTGTAGAATGCTGTAATTCTGCAGGTATCCTTAAATAAAAACATATCCGAATTTTAATCGAATCACATCCTAGCTTGCTCCACTAATAATGAAAAACTGATTTCAATAGTGTTTTTTGCAATAAATTTTGAATAAAAGGTCAGATGGAAAACTTTTGTATATAAAAGGTATGAGGAATTTAATTCAACTTTTCTATTTAACATTTTTCTCGGATTGATACTCTTACAGTTAGGTTTATTCTCTTTACTTGTTTCTCCTATTACATTGCATATTAGAAATTATTAAATATGGTTGTATGTTTTATTAATTTTTTTGTCACAAATATCTTCCTAAGATAGTCTAGATGAAGACTGGGCAAGAATTATTTATTTCAGACTAACAGTTTGCACCACTATTTTGATATATGAAAAAGATAATCATCAAATGTACAAAACAAAAATTTTATATTGTCATTCATATTCTATACTAATATATATTTTTAGGCAAAACATTATGTGGATACATTTCTATCTCATTGCTCAAAACCTTTTATAAATTTTCTCCAATTATGTGGTCACAACAGAGCACGGCAGAGGGACAAATTAGCTCATCTACTTGAGGATTTTACAGCTTTACAAGATGAAGTAATACATTTTCGTTTTACTGTTGATTAATGTATTTAATAAGAATTTGTTTTTAGGCTGAGAGAGTAGATGCATATTTGCACAATCTGTCCGTGAATTCCCCTTTAGCTCGACCTCATATTGCATGTTTTGGAACTTGGATTTTGTATCATACATTACGGATTATGATTATGTACCTCCTAACTGGTTTTGAACTAGAATTGTATAGTGTTCACGAATTTTATTATATATATTGGTAAGTCCTTATTAAGGAAGTAGCTTAGATTTTGTTAGGTCTGTGGGCCATGTAGCCTTTCCCACCTCGACCTTTTCAGGTCTATTGTGGATATACTTTAATCGTTGATTAGAGTACCTTGTCTAGTTTGGTCTTTTTTAGTAGACTCAGTAGACTAAGTAATTAATATAATTGACTGGAGTTAAATATTAAATAACTTTTTAAAATAACACATTGTTTTAGTAATTTAGTATCACAATGAATATTTTGTATTAAAAAATAAGGACTATTTTTTAATAGTTTTATTATTAATTATACAGATGTTGGAAAGACGAAACGTGGTGTTAAAAAGCATTTATTTTCAAAAAAAATTACATTTTATAAACTATTACTATTATACAAAATTTAACAATATTATAAATAAGATAATAAAACTTTGCTAATTAATTAAACAATGAACTAGATATTTTCGCTGAGTTGCATTTTTCAAGTTCGCCGACCAGAATCGTTCTATTTTCAACTGTTTAATTTATGGCGAAATAAATTAAACTTTGAGGTACAGGATGTTATTTTAATATGTTCTGATTGAACAGTTTCAACAGCTTCATTTCAACTTGAGGTGTGACTCAAGGCTCCAACTTGCGACCTTTATTATTTTCATTGTTAATTAATGACTATTCAGTAATATAAACGCACCTAAATTGGTTTATGCTGATGATCTTTTAGGCCTATTGAATTTTAACAAACCCCAATTTGACATACAAAATTGGCTGTTTTCTAATGACCGACTATGACTAGGTCAACATCAAGCATTTTGTGTTATTTTACTTATAATGTTTTATTCTTATTTTATGAATAATTCTATTTTTTTATTCCTTTAATGCATGGTATATTTGTTTTCAATTTTTAATCCGTTAGGCAATAAATCTGTTGAGCAATAAATCTTATTGATATTTTTTTAGGTATTTGTATGAATTTTTATATGGTTGGTTGATATCGGCCTTATCTAGAGCTGATAGTTTTTTAATAGAAAACGATATTTTTAATGAAATACAAAGTAAAAATAAGGGAAACAAAAAGAAACCTAAGAACAAGAAAAAAGCTAGGCCTTATAATAGAGACATTCTATACCTGCAAGCTCTTCAAAATATGGCTGGAGGATATTACAAGGTAAATAAAGAATGTGCTGATTGAATTCTATAGTTTGATTATTTTTAACAACATAAGTAGTTTAGATAAAAACAGAATCCTAAAATACGGATTTAATATTCGCTATACCCACTATTGGTGCTATATATATTGATGAGAAATGTAATAAAAAAATTAATTTGTAATATTAAAATACCCTCACTAGCACAGAAAAAAATAAATTTATAACTAAAAATAAAATTTATAATTTATTACCAGCTTCTACATTTTTCACATTAATAATTTTACTACATGATTTTTCACATTATTCTACTTTCAAACTCATCAATGTATTTTAATATTATTTTTATTATTTCAGCACTAAATATGTTTCAGAATTCAAATCCCATCTTCTGGGGGATGGGATTTGAATTTCGAAACATATATAGTGCTGAAATAATAAATATATAATCGACCGTAAATACCAATTTGCTGATCAATTTTGTTTTGTCAACATTGAGAAAAAAGGAGTTATTGGCCAAGAACCAGTCTCTTAATTCAGTAAAAGCTTAAGTGAAATTATCAGTAGTAATATCCCAAGGATAGTGATAGTGATAAATACGTTGCTCGTATTAAATCCTGATTGATAATAAAATGGGAAAAATAGTAAAAAGTAATGAATTACTTTACTCTACTGTGAACCTTTTTAATAAATACATATTAAAATAGTTATTAGACGAAACTCCCAATTTTGAGTTTTATCATTTAACGGAATAAAAAATATATGTAATAGTTCCTACATATTGGTTTGTTTGGTGCAAACTTGAATTAAGTGATGACACCCCTAGAGAACTTATCAGTGTAAGTCAGAACTGATTGGATATGCTGGTGCACGTGACTATGAACGATTTTAATTGGTTTTCTATTGAAGCCAGAAATTTTCACTTAAAGTTTTCTTTGATTTATCTGACAAAACAAGAAATGTGTCGCCAACATAGATGGTACATATAAGATGCATTTTATCCAAGTCGTTGATAAATACTATAAAAAGTATAGGGCCCAAAATGGAGCCCTGTGGTTCATTTTGCACCAGTTCTGAAATATTTTCGACAACTACATATTGTGTCCGATTATTGGCTGGTAAAATAAGCTGCTATCCAATTGTGTGGGGGTTTTTTTTAATGAATTTCAAAATAAAAGAATATATTTCAAAACGCCTTGTCAGAACTGTAAAATAAATTATCAAGGTGAGACGTGTTTTTAAACGGTTCTAAAATTAATGAGAATTTATGCTAAAAAAATAACTGTTAAATTGTGATTTTAACACTGTGCGGGGTCCTAAGTGCGTCCTATATGTTAATAAGTTTTATCAACTTCTGGTGCTTTTGTGCAGCTAGAATGTGCATTTAAGTGTAAATTATTCAATTGGATGAATCTTTTTTGTGTCGGTAACTAGTTTCTTTATCTAAAACACCTGTTTCTATCTAATCACAAAAAAAAACAACTTAATAAACTGAATTTATCTGCTCACCAGTGAAGGAGAGATTAGGGGTCATAAAAGAATCATGAAAAGATTTTAATATGGAATGCTTCAATTTGTAAATATATCAAACAACCAACAAAGGATGTAAAATATCCCTGTTTTCCTTGCGATTTATGCAGAGACATTTTTTGTGTTGAATGTAGCGAATTAAGCACCACAGAAGTTAGGTGCATTCCATTGCAGAAAACGTCACTAAAGTTTAATTGCAAGAAATGCAGAAATTTTGAGTTTATGAGTATCTTACAAAGCACAATAGTGGATAAGGAATAAATTATAAATGACCAGGAAACGACAATCAGCAATGTCCCAAAGCAAGATAAATTTAATTAAATTAACCCAAAAAAACAATATTCCAAGGTAATCATAAAGCCAAAACAACAACCACCCATCCAAATTAAAAGAGATATAGATGCTAAGATGAATCCATTTAAACTTAAGATTGGTATTACCAACATGAAAACAACACAGCATGGTACTGCAGTAATTAACTGTCAAAATAAAAATGAACTGGACATCCTAAGACAAACATTAGAAGATAACTTAAATGATGACTATGACATCGAAGTAAGCAAATTAAAAAATCCAAAAATAAAAATTGTTAATGTTACTCAAGAATATACAGAAACTGAAATTGAAAACTACTTGAGAGAACAAAACCACATAATCAAAGTGACGTTTATAAAAAGAAATACAAATAACTCCCAATCGGATTTCTGTGAGTGCTCACCAACAGCATTTCACAAAATAATAAATATGAAGAAAGTATGTCTAGGATGGGAAAGATACATGGTTTATGAAGACATAAATATACCAAAATGTTTCAACTGCCAAAAATACTACCATAAAAAAATTAACTGTCAAAATGAAATAGTGTGTCCCGTATGTTCTGAAGAACATGAAGAAAATATGTGCAAGAAATTAAAATTTTTTTTGTAAAAATTGTGATCAGTCGAATAGAAAATATAGTACACAACACGCCACTGACCATGAAAACAACCGTGAGTGTCCATCATTGAAGTATCACCAGCAAATTTTTAGAAATAAAATAAACTATTCCAGCTCTCAATGGTAATTGTAAGCGAAAATGATTTATTAGACTATAAAAATCGATACTAATAATGAAATTATTGATGCTGCAAATATAACAACTAAAATTAATTTAAATGAAAAATTCCTTAATGTCATGCATCTAAACATCAGAAGTATTAAAAAGAATTTTGATGAGTTGATCTTATTCCTAGAAAGTTATGATATAAAATTTTGTGATGTAATTATACCTATTATCTGAGTGTTTCAATTAGAATCTACCTCACAGTTTAATCTACAGGGTTACAACATACACTACAACAACAGTAATATTAATAGAAATGATGGTGTCATAGTTTTAGTCAAATCAAATTTAAATGCAGAAATAAACCCAATAAAGCTCGAACTTTCAGGCATTTGCATTACTAAAATAAACATAACGGCAAATCACACAATTATTGGTACTAGTGCTTTATGGTCTCGTCAAACTTCGGCAGATACATTTATTCGAGACAGAAAATTACATCCCCACTCACCTAAACAAAAGCATTGAAATGTTTATAGATCGATCTCCTGGACGGAAAAAAATCATATCACGAATAACTACGAAGTAACTTTTCACTTAAATGGCTTCTTGTCTTATATAAATACAATTACGTGAACTCAGAGTAAAACCTGTTTGGATCACATATTTTTAAGAAACAATATTAAAACCGAAAAATTAAAATTAAACTCATATGTGATAAACTATGATTTGACTGATCATTATCCGGTTATAATAAATATTTCAAAACCTCTTTCAATAAATAAAACAAAATCTCAAACTACGTATACAACTATAACTAAAATTAATACTGACAAACTAATTTCTAAATTTGATGCTTTAACATGGGAAAGTGTTCTCAATGAAAATAACCCTGAAATAGCAACGCAAAAGTTCTATGACAAATATCTCGTAAGTATTGAATCATGTAAAATTGTAAAAAAAAAAATAAACAAAAATCATAAAAAGATAAAACCTTGGATAACAAATGGCTTAATCAATTCCATCAAAACCAGAGATAAACTAAAAAATAAATTACAAACCACTCAATTAATGAAGAAAATGAATATAAAATTTTTAGAAACAATTTAAATAAATTAATATTGAAAACAAAAAAGGATTACTATAAAAATGAAATAAATAAACACAAGAATAACTTTTAAAAAACGTACCAGATCATTTCAGAAGCTACAAAAGACAGTTGTAAAAAAAGGCAAAACCACTTAGTAATTGTTGACAATGGGAATAAAGATTTCAATACTGACAAAGAAATGGTGAACTATTGGTACAAAAATGTATGAAACCATTCGTGATTGTAAAATAAATTATCCTGTACATACGATAACTAAGTCAATATTTTTAAAACCTATTTGTGACAATGATACAATTAGATATATAAATAGCCTAAAGAACAACAGTGCCCCTGGATTTGATTATGTACCAGTAAAACATATAACTAATACAATATTCTGCACTGGGATTGTACCGAAACATATAAAAAAATCCATTACAACCCCGATCTATAAAACCGGTAACCCAAACTTAATAGGCAATTACAGAACAATCAGTATAATTAGTAATATCGCAAAAATAGTTGAGAAATGTTTGAAAGAGAGACTCATCGAATACTTAACAATTAACAATCTGCTTCCTCAGCATCAATATGGTTTTAATTCGAGTAATGCTATGCTTGCACTAATATCTCATGTAGCTGAAGAAATGAACACCAATAAAAAATGTATCACCACCGTTTTAGATTTAGCAAAGGCTTTTGACACAGTGCCACACCAAAAACTTCTCGACGTACTTGAAAAGAACGGGATAAGAAGCACTGCGTGGAAAGTCTTTGAAAGCTATCTGACTCAGAGAGAACAACAAGTTAAAATAAGAGAAATTCTTAGTAATCCTGAATATGTACAAATTGGTATACCTCAAGGTACGGTTTAGGGCCAGTAGTATTCAACTTATACATCAAAGGCTTGATAATGCAACAATTTCTTAACCAAAATCTCTTGATAAGCATATATTTTAGCTTGGTAGAATCTACTCTACGTTATGGTATACTAGTATGGGGAGGCCTATATGAAACAACCAGTAGACCACTAAATGTCATACAAAATAAAATACTGAAAATTATTTTCAACAAACAGCGATTATATCCTACTACTCTACTATATAAAGAAACAATATCTAATATTAGAAGTTTATACATGAACACAATATGCTGTTACATACAAAAACATGAGGTACTAAAAAAACCTCTGGGTCATCAACACAAAACCAGAACCTTTAGTAACTTGAATATTAAAATATCTATGCCTAATAGTGAATCTTTCAAGAATTGTATAAATTACTTAGGACCAAAGTGTTACAAAGCTTTACCTCTTGAGATCAAATTAATTAACAAACAACATTCATTTAAGAAAGCATGCAAATCCTTCATCTTCCAAAACTACTCAAAATTGTATAGATTCTTCTTAGAATAACACACATCTCACTGAAATATGTTGAAACCCTGTAGATTACAAGATTATTACATTATTAAAACATTATTACATATTATATATAACATTACTACATTATTAAATTTAACATTTATTAAAAATACATTAACTTTACGTTTTAGTTTTCAGTTCAGTCTTAGTTTGTCTAGCTCTAGCACATACAGGGCCCACACCTAGGTGCTAACTTATTTGCCTGTGATTAATTTATAATTTGTTTATTGTTATAATAAATTATATTATTATTGTAATAATAAAGAATTATTGAATAATAAATTAATTATTGAATTATAAATAAAATTTATTATAAACAGACCAATTTTCATTACTAATATTAACAATGAATTCTTGAGATTCTATAAATAACCTTTTTTAATTTTTATCATGATCGCGAATCCCTTTACCTGGCTCAAAGTCTAATAACAACATACTGTGATCTGAAATAACACTGTCAATGACTATATATCCCATTAGGTTCATAATTATTAAAAATTTGGTTAATTGTTGTAGCTGATTTCATTGAAACTTGAGTGGGTGGGTCACCGTATGGTAGGTTTTAAATAAAACATTTTTAAAAATTCGTTACCTTTTTTATTGAACGAATCTGCATTAAAATCGCCACATAAAAAATATTAGCACTAGATTTAAAAAGTTTACTTAAAACATCGTAAATACTTGCAAGAAAAACATCGACATTTCCTGTAGAAACTTAGAATAATTGTATAGCCTATCACTAAATTAGAGGAGATACCACAAATTTCACAATCTTGCTTTACACAAAAAATTTTGAGATCAGTGGAGTTTACATTATTTAACTCGACACTTTCCATCTTTTTGTTTTTTTTTTTGTGACAGTAACTACTAAAATGAAGTGAATTTTCAGAATCCCTGTAAGTTTCGGTCAAACAAATAAAGCTAACGTTGAAGGTACATATTTCTATAAAGAGATCGTTAAACTTACTCTGATTTAGAGATTCTGCATTAAATGTCATGTCAGGGTATAAAAAAACGGGTTATTATAGATTCTTAAGGCCACACGGACATTCTAGATCCAAAATTTAGATACCGTTATATCAATGTTTTATGCTGTCTTGTCGTAATTTCTATTTCTCATAACTTTTTAGCTTGCAAATAATAGTTTTTCTTTACATATGTTTTCAGGCACTTATGGGATTTCGATTAGAAGGAAAAATAACAATGCCGCATCCTAGATTTGACAGTGAACAAGTCCGCTACGAGCACCGTTTCGCTCCTTTTCAAAACCTTCTTACACCACCTCCTGTTGTCTACTCAGAATTTAGGGAAATGACATCATTTGAAAGGTTCCAACAGCAACCCGTAGACAGCTGTTTCCTTTATATAGCAGGATGTAAGCACTTCCATCAAGCTAGGCAGTTGTTGGAGGGCATAACACAAGACGCGGAGGTTTCCGATTTAGTGACAATATGCAAAACGAATTTTATTGTGTTAAAGTTATTAGCTGGAGGACATAAAAAAGACTGTACGAAGCCACCCGAATTTGATTTTACTAGAAATAAATATTTCCCGATTATGAAGATAAATTAAGTTTTTTTAGCAAGTCCGTCATCATGTTTTGCGCGATATTTCGGTTCGATTTTTAACCTTGTTGGGTTCTTTATAAATCTTAAAAGTTCCTTTAAATATTCGAAATAATGTTGTTCTTTTTAATTAAAGAAAAATCCGACATTTTATTCATCTAGTGAAAAGTCCAAGTTGACTTTGTACCTGCGCATTCCAAAAATGTTATAAACAAAAATCGCAACTCCAAAAGAATAATGGCGCAAGTGAAAATTAATGATTTGCAGAATTCGCAAATTAAAATAAATGAAATATGAAGCTTACAACTGAAACGTTATGGAACTGTTTGGAAATAATTGATGAGGACTTTGAGAAAGCAAATTTATTCTAGTTTTTGATAGTACTAATTGATAGAACTAATTGAAGATTTACAGGCATTAAAAGTCAAAATTTGCACTTGCGTCATTATTCTTCTGGAGAAGGGAAGTATTGAATAATTTTGCAATAATAATTCACTTGTCTTTGGTAAAATTCTATGAATACAACTTCATATAAATAATTTATCATTTAAATTTTTGGTATTTCAAATGTTGAATTTATCAATCTATTATTGGTAACATATATTTTATAAAACATGAAGTAATCATAATGCGTGTTTTGCATCTGACAAATTAATCACTTCATGAAGGAATTGATGTATGTAAAGCGAAACTTCACGTGAATAAATTATCATTTCTTCAAGGGCTTCTTCATGTTTAATACATTTATTCATCTAGAAATTCTTTAATAAATTCTTAAATTTCTTTTGTGTCACATTATAAATCTAAAACACTTTTTATTTGTGTATGAATTTCTTCATAAAAAAATTGATAGATGTAAAGTGTGCCTGAAGTAAAATTTTTGTTTAAAAATGTTTATATTTATACAAAAAGATTCGGTTTGTGTTTTTGCGACAATTATACACAACCAAAAATATTTTTTAAAAAATTTGCTGAAAAAGTTTTTCATATTATGTTCATAGCTCATAATATCCCATATTTGGACGATCTAGTCAATTTTTTTCCTATAATGGACTGCTCTATAGTGCAAACGTTACTTACTAACTCCTGTATGATGAATCCAACAGAATGTTCGAATACATTGATTTTTAACAGGCGACGAATGATAACTTAAATTTTTCATTAGTTTTTAGTGAGCTAAATTTAAAATTTGAAATAAACTAAAAACAAACAACTAAAAATATTTTTTCTCTTTCGAATAGTCAATGGAGAACAGTTTTATTATTTGATAACTTAAATATCAGTTTAAAACAATATCCCAGTGTCGTGTTTTTTTGTCTGTTTATTTCAAATCCAGTTGACAATATATGTTGGTATTTAAAGTATTTAAGGGGGTAGCTTCTTAAAAAATTTCCAATTTTAAAATAATTTCTTTATGGCATAATACGAAAAATATATATATTTTTTCGTAGAGTGCTTTTCAATTGCCGAAAAACTAATTTTTAACAAGATGTTTTTTGGCAGAAAGAAATTGTAAAATTTCGAATCATTCAAGTGTCCCATACCTGCAATTAACACATGTACATTTCACTCTTAAAACACCCTGTATATATAAACACATATTTCATTAGAAATAAAAATCGATGTATCCTAACATTTTCTTGAATATTTTTAATCGTGCTGGAGTCAGTAGGGGTAACACTTAACGTTCGCACTATATAGTATAATATTTAGAAAAAGGAACATTGAATTATACCTATAATCTTTTTATAATGTCCATTTTTGTTAATAAATATTTTTTTCAAATTACTCTTTATTTTACATTTGTCCAATACAGATTTTATATATTTGACATCGCTAAGGTTTGACTATAGAAGCAAAGATATTATAGTATAATAATCTTATGGACACATCGTTTAATTGCTATAGAAACCACATGTAAATGGCAGCATTCCCACTGTCTCCAAATCAGGTATTGACAAAGATATATGACCAAGACATACCATTATTTACAAAATTTCTGAAGCCAACACGAGTTCACATTTTAACCCACTGCATAAAAACATTAAATTAATGAAAACTTTACATTATATTGTTACATTGTAACTCATTTTTACTTTCCTATCTGTATACAGATATAAGGAAAGTATAGGAATCATGATTTTTTTCGACCTCGAGTTTTCGACGGATTTTTACGTTTTGAGGTCCCCTGAATCCGTTTTGACTATTTTCGCGATGATGTCTGTGTGTGTGTGTGTGTGTGTGTGTCTGTATAACGCATAACTCATGAACCGATACACAGAAAAACACCAAATTTTAAACTTAAGCTTTGTTTTAGCGTCCAATGAGCTGATTAGATTTTGGGCAGAGTCGGAACATCTGGGGGGGTACTTTATAGGTGGTCATTTTTATATTTTATGGAATAAATCTGTTATTTACGTTTGGAGAAGAAAATTCTTCAAATAAAAGTTACTTCTATTATAATTATCTATAATTTTTGTTTTATGCAAAATTTTCCTAAAATGGACCGTATTCGAGAAATTTGACAAAATGTAAAAAAAATAATTTTTTATAAAAATTGTTCAAATAAAAGTTGTTTGTAATATAATTCTCTATAATTTTGGTCCTACACATAATTTCTCTAAAATGGACCGTATTCGAGCTATTTGAGAAAATGTGTAAATTTCGAAATTTGAAGAAAACTCAAAAACGGATAAAGGAAAAAACATTAAATTTTAAATTTAAGGTTTATTTCGGCCTGACGTGAAATGATTAGATTTTGGACAAAGTCGGAACATCTGGGGGGGTACTTTATGGGAGGCCGTTTTTATATTTTATGGAATATATCTGTTATTTATGTTTGGAGAAGAAAATTGTTTAAATAAAAGTTACTTCTAATATTTTTATCTATAATTTTTGATTTATGTCAAAATTTCCTGAAATGGTCCGTATTCGAGAAATTTGACAAAATGTGCAAAATTCTGATTTTTATGAAAATTGTTGAACTAAAAGTTGTTTGCGATATCGATTTCTATAATTTTTGTTTATACATGATTTTTCTAAAATGGACCGTAATGGAAAAGTGCTAAATTTAAATTTTTCTGTATTTTCGTTTTCAATGAATATCGATAAAAAAATGTTTCGAGGTAGATGTATGTGTAAAATTTATATATTTAGTTTATCCTCTAAACATTTATAGAGATGCTGCAATAGGTTGTACAAAATAACCGGAAAATGCCTATAATAACTAGATAGGAAAGTCATGTGTTGGACACATCAGATTTTTACTCTTGTTTTTATCTATAGGGTGGACTCATAACCGTCTAAGCCCAGAGTAGGAATGTTTACTTTTGTGATGAAACTAATGTAGATATTTCGGTGATATTATAGCGCTACTTTGTTACGTTATTCAACGTTACTGGAAGTTCTCAAAATTGATGTCTTTTTAACAAACCAAATGTGACATTCCTGTTATATCCAAGAATTTTTTTTGATTTGTGTAGATGTTATTATAAAGCCCATAAAATAAAATCATATTAATGAACCAAATGTGACGTTCCAAATACGATACAGTTTATACCTTTGTAATTTTATGTACCTATTGTCTTTTAAATCTTATGAACTATGTTATGTAAATATTTTACATATTTCATCTATATAAAGCAGATTAGAAATAATATCTTCTAAAAAAGCTTATAAAAGACAAGTTAAACTTCTAATTCCGAAGGTAACAAAAGCACAGAAAAGAAACATAGGGCTAGTTCCACCACAGAGATACTCTGAGCAAACGTATCTATTCACAGTACAACACATAGCTAGGTATACGGTGAATATTTACGTTTTCTTAGAGTATCTCTGTGTTCGAACTAGCCCTATGTTTCTTTTCTGTATTGTTCTCTCTTCTGTAGTAAAAGTAAGAACTTTGAATGAAATACTTAATACCGGACAACAGACTGCTCCTTAATACATTATACTGCTGGTTACGTGAGTAGCACGCGATCATTGGTGTCTTCATCTATGAACGCGTGATGAACTGTTAGGTGTGCCCAGTTTGCGATGTAGACTAAAGATAGCCATCTTAAAGATGTGTAACTTGTACACATTACTGTGCTGACCTGTATGCGATATTATTGTGAGTTATATAAATTAACATCGTATAAATGTTTGGCACAGGAAGTAACTAAAGAGAAGTACAAAATATGTTTATGTAACAGCTAGTGAATGCCAACTGTGTGAGTATTTGAAGCTATTGCTATTGTCGACGCATGCGCAATAGCTTCAAATACTCGCACAGTTGGCATTCTACATCCTCATCTAACAAGTGGCGTTGCGCGCTAACTCTCTCTCATTTTATCTCAGATATCTCGCGTTTTTAACTGATGGCACTCCTAATGCAGCAATATATCATCATGTTAGAAAAAAATTAGCTTTAATGTGATATAAAAAACATCCGTGTAAGTCACGAACGTATAGATAGATCAAAATATTACCTGCTTACACCTGGCTGCGAGGTTGTTGCGGCCGAGTATGGAACGGCACTTAAGGATTTTAGAATTCTTTACATGCATTGTTATGATGTGGATGATATTTTATTTTAAAGAGAAGTAAACGAAATTTTTTTTGGAATATTAATTAACATTAATTTAATTAAAATTACTTGCGGCCACTTTTGACTGGCTGCGGTGTTGTCAGTGTATTCTCCTATTCATAAAATCATGTAAAAATTTGTGTTTCACTCAAAACTTAATGAACGTAGTGATTTTGCAGCGGGATCTTAGACTATTAGATATTTTGCTGGATATCCATAGAATATCTTCTATATCCTGGATATAGACGGACATTAGGATATCCATATATTAGATCCACTTGATATCTATGATATCCTTTGGATATCCACAAAGATATTCTGCGGATATCTCTGTGTTGTCTGGGTATGATGTTAAAATTTAAACATCTATGGGATATTAGTGTTTTAAAAATATATCAAGAAAAGTCTGAGAAACGTCAAAAAAAGACTGGTAATGTTTCATGTTTAGTGGGAAGCGTCCTTGGTAAAAATGCAATATTCTGATTGAGCATTATTGCTGCCAAGTTTACAGTGTTCATAACAGTAGTAATGCAATTTCGTTAAATGTAAAATACCCTTTGGCCAAAATCTGACGAAATTTTGATATGTTTTAGAACTTTGATATATCGATCAAATACCTATCTCCGTTGCGCCAAAACTCAAAGTTTAACAGTTTTTGATCAACACTATTTCAACGCATAAAATGCATGTTTTTATCAATATTGGTACAAAAAAATTTAAATTGTCATTTATTTTTTCCGATATTTTGAATCTCCCTGTAGATATAATGAGCACACAACTGTGCAACTTTCATCGAATTTAACCAACTTTCTAGCTATTACTGATTAATAAATAGCAATACTGTGCCTAAGAAAATTGTACAACATATTGTGGCATGTTTTAATGGGAATATTAAAATAAATATTGAATATTTGAATTATTATTATTACGCAAAATGCATCTTGTCGCCATCTATCGCCAATGCCGTTAATGAATAGTTTTTGTTACGTAAACTATTAACAGATTTCTTTCTAGAGTGTAATAAAAACTTACCGATGAAAACACCCCAACGGATAGATAAGTAACTTCTAGTGTATTTATTTCCCTTGATATGGGAGTTGACTTCGTGCAATTTAATATTGAATACTAACAAATTGTAGTGTTTTTAGGGCTTTTTAAATTAAATGTATAGCCACGGCTTTATAGTACTGCCGTGATTTTTAAATCATAAATCCATTGTATAAATAAATGTTTTGACAGGGCCGTAAAAACCAATGTTATATTTTTATATAGATTGCTCATCCATAAGACCACGAGAACCGGGTCGAACTGCGGTCGATCACCATGCTGAGTGCTCACCAAACAAAATCGGTCTGGCCCAAATGTTCTTAAAACTTAAATTTCATCCTTCTAGCAAGAATTTTATTTAAAAATAATAATTATCTGAATTTTTACTTCAAGACATGAGCTTGTGTTGGATATTTTGAAAAATTATATATTTTTTGAGTCGTAAATTCAGTTTCTATATAGGCAAAACATTTTAAGAGATCCAAACAATTTCTAACATAGATGTAAACAATTTTAAATTCTTGTATAAACAACTTAAATAAGGGCTGATTCCAACATTGTGTTAAACGAAGTTTAAAATTACTAAACGAAGATTAAAATTACTTTTACATTAACTATGTCATGCATATAACTAACTTTAGACTACTGTTATAGTGACAATATTTGTACACTTCTTGTCTTAATCTTTTAAAATTTATTTTATTAATGCAAAATAGTTGAATTAACTTTTTGGATATTTTGTTGCGCTATTGATACAAAATAACTTTCGCGAATTGGAGCATAAAAATAAATTGCACCTAGGTATCAGTTAACTTACACCTTAGATGCTAAAATAATAGAATATTAACTATCTTTTTGGAGAAGAACGTCTTGCAACAGTCAGCACAATACAAGATCTTACCGTTTATTTCGACACAAAACTGAGCTTCGACATACATCATAATCAATCGACAACCCTTTACAGAACGTGTGTCTTTTTTCCACCGGTTTGTTGGAATCTTTTTTTCGCCGATGTGGCCTTGAATGCCTTTTGTTGGATTCAATTTATTTATGATTGACCGTTGAAATAAATAACAGTTAACATTTTGGATTAAAATTTGTGTTTATAATTTTATTTGAATGTACCTATTTACTTTAATTTGGACGTATATATTTTTAAAATCTCATTTTTTCGGTTTTCCCACAAAAAACAATTCCCACAATCTATATAGCTGTCAGTTGTCACATCTAATCGGAAAAATCATACATTGAACTGATGGAATGGTGTTGCATCGATTGCATCAACGTTGGATAAAAAGACAGCGCTGTTAGTTCATCACTGATAAATTGATGAAATAAAAGACAGGTAGATACCGCACTGATGCCAATGTTGCTGCAACAGTTGGATAAAAAGACACACGTAGAGCAATTTGCAATCTTAATTCAATAACGGTTGATTCCACCGTTGTGTTAAACGGAGATTAAAATGACGTTGTTAATGTAAAAATATCATTTTAAACTTCGTTTAACACAACGGTGGAATCGGTCCTAAACAAAACAAGTTTTTATATTCAAATAACAAAACCAAACTTATAACTAAAAATAGAACATATATGATTAAAGCTGAGGAAATAAATAATTCAATAAAATGTTGGACTGAGATATCTCAATGACAACTAAAAATACAAAATATCAACTACAATGTGGTATGTATGCAGAGAACGACCTAAGCCTGTTCTGTAAAATAGTTTCTTTACCTAAGCACGAGAGAAGAGAAAACACAAACATTGCATGTACTAGACAAAGAAAAACCATCTCCCAATTCGACCTGCTTTTTGTCGTTTTATTTACGTATGGATAAGCAATCTATAGAATTATATATCATTGGTAAAAACTTGGCAATTTTCGATCATGCGCGCGGCTATTAATTTCATCAGTTGGCAGCACTGGTGCCACGGTCCTCAGTTTGAAAATGATCTAGCGGTTTTTATTTCCTTTTTCTTTTATATTTTATTAAAAATATTCTGGTAAGCTGAATTATTTCACTATCATTCTTACCTGTTTTTTTATTCTTCACCTTGTTATATTATTCAGTAATTAACACTGAGTTTTCTTTTTGCTAGTTCGTCGTTATTCAGAAGTGTAGCGTCTTGTGGTAAAATGGTTTCCTGCACTATGAAGGTTGACTAAATGTTTCAAAATATCTCGACTGCACTTGCCTTGTAGGTATGTTTTTTAGCAACACTTTTATATTAACTTTTCACTTTTTCTATTCTATTTAATTAATTCCATATTTACAGGGACATACAATTTTTATTTAGGTAACTTTTCTGTTTTGTATGTTGACATTTTTTCTTTTTTTTTTTAACCGAGGAAATTACCTCTTCCGGTCTTAAAATTTTCTATGGAGTAAACAAACTTTCTTTTAAAGAAATTAAATATAGTTATTTGAAAAAATATTATCGCCAATCAAATTTATGTTGTTTAATGTTATTTGAAATTATTAAAATATTATTTTATGCAAGTTTAATCTACGTCTGTATACTAGATTTTATTGAAAAGCCTATTCTATCTTTTTTAATCAGTTTTATTGAAATCCGTGCTGTAGAATTTTTTAAATTAAGTAGGTATTATCTATTATTTAAAATTCAGGTTGGTAGACCTGTTTACCAAAATGTATATTGTAAAAGTTTGTCAAATGTTTCACAATACAGGGTGTATCAAAATATTTCTACAAAATCATAATTCTTTATTATATTTCAAATTTGAATATTCTATTAACTTTGATAGGTTTTTTAAATACATTACAATTAGCTGAATTGCTGAACAATTCAATGTAACCAGCTTTAGATATTACTACCCAACAAACAATAAATTGCCGGGATATTGCTGGCCTTTTGCTGTAATTGAAGGGAAAATGAATGCGACGATTAAAAGATAAAAGCCTACTTTTGACATTTCGATAGTGGCCCAGCATTGTTGCTTGATGATCGCCGCATGAAGGGTAAGTAACTGTATTGGGTAAAAGTCAAAAAGTTTTTAACTGCCGCAGACCCAACTCAAACAAACCAGGAGGGCTCCGTCCGGCGTTTATAGATGGAGACACCGATGATCGCTTATTGTTACATACTCAACGAGTGAACATGTACTATGAGGCCAGTCTCGCATTGTTGGTATTCAGAATTCATTGTAATTTATTACTTTTACATCTTAATTTAGAATATTTTATTAATAATGTTTTTGAAGAAGACATTTTTTCAGTATTATCATATTATATAGCTGAATTAAATAAAACGTCTACAATATTCTATATTGAAATGCCTTCTGTTTTTGTATATAATTTATAGTTCAAACGGTGTACTTCTGGTCAAAGAGGCACTATCAATATCCTGTCTGATCATGTGTCTGACACATGGCGTTTATTAATATGGTAAAAGGCCAGCAATTTCCCATTAACTTCCCATCAATAGGCCATTAATTGCCAATATATTTATTTCTAGACATTAAAGGGGAAATAAAGGCCCATTAATTGGTTATGATGGCAAAGTGACTTCGGCCCGACTGTCGGCTGTAGTGACCTATATATGCCGGCCTTTTAATTAAAAAAGTCAAATGGCCATCAATGTAAATGGAGGGTGACCGTTATTGGGCCTTTACTTCCCCTACACAAAATGTTTGTTGGGTAGGGTTGAGTATACCTGCATGCATGGAACTCTGAGTGCTTTTTATGACAGTGATTTTTCCATTTACCTTATGTCTTACTAGCTCTTTTGCACAGTGATATATTGTTGCTATTTCTGTCTGGATTTCTAAGCTCAGTGAGATTCTTGTCTTTGGCTTGGCCCTATATACAGGGCGTTTATTAATTGAGTGCCAGTACTTATATAAGGTTGTCAATCCTTGCGTTATTCTAAGAAGGTTAATATCAACATATTATGTCGTAAACCTCTTAATTTTTGAGCTACAGGGTGTTACAGTTTTAAGAAAAAAATTACTTTTTTATCATAATTTTCTTATCACTTTAGATATTCTTATGAAATTTTCTACACACCTCTTAATGATTAAAGGGCATTTTTTTACGTAAACGTAAACTTACCAGTGACGTTCGTACGGGGTTTGAACTGAATATTTTTGATCTATAGGTTAACCTTTTATCACGCCTCTGATATATGTCACCAGGCAATACATGTTTTAAATTGACGAGTACCTTTGAAAAATGTAGGATTTTCCTTCAAAGTTGTAAATTTAATTTGTGGGAAATATAAAATATTTATATTTGTTTTTTCTGTAAATGTTTAATTTTTTTGCTTTCCTCTATCCCGTTCTGGTAGTTATTGACTGCACTGTAGCCCCGTCAGTGCAGTCAATATCAAAGTCCTTACTTAGTTTTAGAGAAATGAGAAATGGTTTACTTGAGAATTTGTGACATCTAGGATGGACATTTTTTTACTGGTTAAATCAGTCTAAATATATTATAGATTTTCAATTATACAGATATTGATATAACATTGTATAAAGATATGGTATGATATAAAGATAATGAATATACCGAGCGCCTTCAACGTGTCGGGATTCTAGAAAGTAAAATAAAGAACTATAGTTCTTTCATTGTAATATTAATACAATGGTTCTTTATGCAATGGTGTCGGAGAGGGAAATATATCTACATTTATGGTAAATACAGAAGAAATCTGCATATTTACTAGTACGTAAAATGAACAGTAGATTACTGTCGATACAACTTTTATTGATTTAAGTTGTATCTGTATTAAATTATTTCTAAGCTAGATAGAGAAAAATTTAAAGGGTCCTGTAATCGCAGTTCACAGTACAATTAGATACAGATACCTATTAACGATGATGTAGTCGTTAAAGAAAGTCTAGTAGAGATGCTGCACACATCCATTTGATATTTTTCTTTTGATTACTAGGTAAAGCTTTAATTATTAAAATACTGCACAATTAGGTACCTTTTTATTGACATTTTTCTTACTGGGAAAAACAAGCGTAATGCGCAGCGCATGTCAAAAACGGAAGTTCCTACTAAGTCCCATGTTAGGATCATGATTTGAAAAAATAAATAATGATAGGTAGAGTAGGGCTAAATTGCTACTTGAAATGTACCTTTACAGTTACCTTAATACCTACATGAGAAACAGAGAAGGATAAGGATGTTCGAAGTGTATCTCCCTTCCAGAATACTATAATTGTTTGTATCATGCTCCTATTTTTTTCGTAGATTCCTTATTGTTTCATTCAATTATAAAAATTTAAATTCTATTTTCATAACTTTTTCCGAATAAAGATTTTGGTGAAAATGACACTTGCTTCAAACCGTTGCGAAGATGTGACATGTGACATGCTCGTTTTACCCTACAATTGGATGTACTAATGACGTCACCACTTTCGTGTACATGACGTCATCTATCTTTTATATATAACATGTTTTTCTCCTTATTTTTAAATTTCTTTTTGTATCTAGCCTAAATAACGGGCCAATTTTAAAGAATTTGTTTGTGAGTTTTGCACTCGACTAATGTGCTCTCTCATCAGTCTCATCACAGGATCAAAAGAGGAAATCATCTCGACAGCTTTGAGGAAGTTTCCATGATCAAATTCAAAAAGTATTTTAAAACAACCTTGGAACGCTAGACATTGTCTGGATAAAAATTTGACAACTACTAACAAATGAATAATAATAAGAAATGAACATAAAATTAAATTAAAATGTTATAGTTATTTAATTTGATATAAACAAAAAATATAGAGCACCCAGTATAGTAAAAAGTTAGTAAAATAAAAACTAAACATTTTTTCAAATTGACGAAGCGTAAAGCGAATAAACTATTTGAATTTAGAAATTTTTTTATGTGTCCCAATAACCGGCCAGGACAAAAAAAATATATTTAAAAACTAAAATTCCTCCAGTAATAATTTCAACTATACATTACTTTAGAAAAGAACTTAGTATATCTATGAAAAAAGATTTAAAGGAAAAATTATCAAGATGGTTTATAAAATTTAAAAATAATTGATTTAAAAACACTGGTACAAAACGCTTAATAATGTCAATAAATGCAGTGCTTTTCTGTTTTAAATCAAATCATCCTTATAAATCAAATTTTGCATGTATTTTAAAAATGGCCTTATGATAAAAATAGCACGCACCATCCAACTTATGGTCAGGCGAAACGATACCACAATTTGAGCTTGTCAGGCGAATCGGGAAATTTTAATTGGTCAGGCGAAATGGGAGCAGGCGAATCGGGCATAAATCAAGTCAAATACATAGGTATTATGTGGGTAGGTACCTACCATTTCATTAAATTTAATTACAACACAATTATATAAAACACTCCGTCGAATATAACTTTGCGTCTTGGTTTTTGACCTTCACGTAGCCGAAGAAAATATTAACTATTTGGATTACGACGCCTCCTGTAGTTTTATTTATACTCGTGGTTCGTAGATGAGTCTTCAAGTCTGGACAGGAAAAATCGACAAGATCTAATATGAAACTTACTCGTCGTACAATATTCGAGTCTGGACAGGAAAAACGTAGTTCGTAGAGTATTCAAGTCTGGACAGGAAAAATCGACAAGATCTAATATGAAACTTACTCGTCGTACAATATTCGAGTCTGGACAGGAAAAATCGACAAGTTTATACTTTATACGGGTATTCATGGTATTACATGTTGCACACAGAATTAACTAACCTATTGCTTTTATTATATTTAATAATTAACGCTAATTGAATAGCTATTTGATGTCAAAAATAGATATGTTTTCTGTCACAATAGGAATAGGTTATTATATCAACGAACATAAACTTCGATAACATTATTGATTATATTATCATGAATTGAGATAAAAACATTTTTGATTTCTTTAGTGTCTTAGTGCCTTGTTCGTTGCACGCGTTGCACGCGCAGTTGCGGGGGCCCTGGCCATAACCAAGACTTTCTAAATTCCTCCAACACTCTAGTTTGTTTCCGGGCAACTGAGTCTTACCTTATTACGAATTCTCTCTTTCAAATCGTTGATATTGTAAGGGCTATTGAAGTACACTTTAGATTTAAGATAACTCCAAAAGTAAAAAATCAAGGGTGATAAATCAGGAGATCTTGGTGGCCACTTTATTAATTATTCGAACTTGTAACTGTCCACACCCCAGTCGCTCCTAAAATTATCAAAATCATGTGTTTTATTGCCACCCTCCCCTTT